AAAATGTGATGTGTTTTTATTTAATTGCACAGTTCATGGCAGGGACACACATTGGCTTCATTCACTGTTGGGAAATGGTTATTTCCAAATCACAATCAGACTGGTGGACATTGTGGAGAAAAATCCGGGAGGAGGAGAGAAGGCCTTTTCCCTGTGTGATTTATTAGAGGAAGTCGTCGTGAGTGACAAGCGCGTACATTCGGGAACAGCAGACAGTTCATACTGTACCTGAGCGGCTTCATTAGCCAAGGCTTTGTCTCAGTCCATGCTGGTTTCTAACACACAGATCCAGTCTGCTGGAGGATCTACTCCTCTCTGTGCTGAGATGATTGGCACATGGAACAGAATGGCCAGTATTCAATAGGACTGAATCAGAAAGTGTGAAATATGAAGACAATGAAATCTATATTCAGGTTAACTTTCAAACGTTCTCTCGGAAACAAATTTCATAAGCAGTACTGGAATACAGAACACAGAGTTATGATTATGCTTCCACTCCGCATCGATCAAATACTGGATATTCTGGAAAGTGGAGTGATGCAAAGAGTAGATTTTGAGTTCAGCTAATCAAAATTAGAGGATGTGTTATACATTGGTCTTTTACCATGGATTCACTGTAGTAACACTAACGACACCATTGTATTGTGGCAGAAATGTGGGATACTCATATCAAATTGTATTATATTATTAATGTAGACATGCATTAAATGTATTAACGTAGTAATGGAATATAATTACAGTATTTTTTTGTGATTAAGCTATAGCATTTGTGTATTTATACTAAATGTATTTAGACTACTGTTTTTCAAACAAATACCTAGAACCCATATAGATACATTTTTACCATGGTATTGAGGGTTTTAACTGTGGTTATCATGATCTAAATGTATGCTACTATGGAAGACCAATGGTTAATTTAAGTAAAACTCAAACAATCAGAATAATTAAATTTCACTATATAAAAATGAAGTTGTTACAATTTTTACAGAATTTTTACAGCAAAGTCAGGCAACACAAACCTGTTTCATGGTTTGAAACACTATCAATGCAGAAACTAAGAAATACATTTTACTATTAAGATATTTATAAAAAAAAAAAAATGACTGGAAAAGTGTAAACAATTTAAAGTGTTTGTCATGTTCTGACGATAAAGAGGAGTGTACAACCACAATTAACGATTTGGTTTCTACAATTTTCACTTGGGAGCAAAAATCTGACTTTAAACTTGAAAGAAATAAAGTTTTGAAATTTATCATATGAAAAATGTTATCATGATAATTGTTTTGGCTATACCGCCCAGCCTTAGTTCAGCCAATCAAATTGGAGGATAACTGTTGCATTAGGTTACACAGTGGAATTTTAAATCTATCAGAGAGTAGGATTTATCAAACTTATTTATTTTGATTTATATTTTACATTTGACATGCAGTTGGCAGACGCTTTAATCAAATGTGAAATATATTGCTTTGAAGGTACACATTTTATTTGTTATTTCAATTCTTGTTTTCTCTGGGAGTAGAACCCATGACCTTGGCATTGCTAGCACCATGATCGACTGTGTGAGCTATGGAAAGTAAAATCATGCAATGAAATAATCCAACAAAAACGATTAATTTCATCATTAAAAGAAAAATAACAATGTTCTAAATCAGGGCTTCCAATTTTATAATATTCATTTCAATTTAAACCAATCAAATGCTGAGCTGTTAATCATGCAAGATAGCTGATGTGAATATAGCCCATTTTTAACAATGTAAACAAATATAGGCCTACCTAAAAACCATAGAACCATAGAATTATATGTAATAATTAGGGCTGCACGATATGGAGAACAATGTGAAGCTGATAAACAATGCAAATAATCTTTAAATGAATAAACTTGATTAGTGTGTCAAATCAATTTAAATTATTTTCAAGAACTACTTAATCTACATAAATGACATCTGGAACATTCAAGTTAAACAAAATATGGAAAGAATGGTGCTTTTACTTAACTTTTTCATAAAACTGTCCTCACTCACACATCCCAGTCTTTCCTCAAATTCCATATTTTATGAAGCTGTTGTAGTACCGGGGATGTCAAAAGTACCAAAATTGTCAACTGTCCATCAGTATAATCGATCAAATTATAAAATGATAAACATCAATTTATCATTAACACCCCTGTTCTCTTTTACGGCATTCTCCTTGCTTCTATCCTAGACTATCCTGTCCTAGATAATGTAGATTCAACGGCCTTAAACAAGCCCAGAGTGTGTGAAATATTCAAACTCACTCTAATCCACATATTCTGAGGCCTTAATGATTTTTTCATGGTTGGTTAAAAGCAATTCATCAGAAATTTGCCGTATACTGCACAAGATGTAATGCGCTTAATGCAAGTGAGGTTAAATGCTAGATGGAAAGACCTTTGCACACCTCGCCCGCGTGTGTGTGCATGGCACAGAATACGTTTAAAACAACATGTGACACACAAGCAGGCATAATGTCTTGACTAAGGACTTCCATATGGCGTGACTGCAGCCTGATTTTTCTCTGCAAGCTAAAGCCCTGTGGGTTGTAAAGCGTCTGTTTTTGTGACCGCCCCAGTGATCACGACTTCCAGTAAGGTCTTGCGCTACGTGCCTGCGTGTGTGATCCAACCGGCCGGTCTCAGCGGCTCACATCTCACTGAGGAACAAGATCTAAAGAAGCACAAAACAGTCATTCCAGCTGCCTGGTCAGGTACAAAACCCCTGACCAGCATATTCCAGATCATCTTTTATTCAGATCCAACGTACCATTAACCCAACCTCTAAATTAATAATGGCAAACCCTGCCAGACAAAACGTGTGTTCAATGGTCTCTGATGTGGCCATACGCCCCATGGGGCCAACCTTACTATTTGAGAAATTGACGAGCACTCAAATCTGCCTGGAAACGCACTGCACAACAAAAAAGGCTGGGAGGTGATAGCATGTGAGAGAGCTGTCTGGCTTTGACTGACATGGGAGTCGTTTTAAAACGCACACGCACATCTGAGGCTGTAGCGCACAAGAAAGAGTGTAAAGTACTTCTTGCCATATTGTTATTCTGATAGTGTGTGAACCAAATAAATTAAGATTGTATATTCTGCTGGCACGTCCAAAGCAAAATTATGGAGGTTAATCAAATGTGCGCTGTAAATCCCTGGCCTGCCCTCCAGCTGAGTGCCAATTGACTATGTGGAATTTACAACACAACAGCAGCACGTCTGATGAATCTTTCATAACACAATCTCGAATCGGAAAAACAGTGAAATGCGTGACTAACAAGATTCAGAGAACTCAATTAATTAAGAGGATATAGGGTTGGAAACTGTCTGTATGATCAAAAAAAAGTGCAGTCAAAATCAATCCCTCATTTTATCAGATTGTTTTTGTTTTGTTTGTTTTTTTAATAATGAAGCACCAAAATAAGGTCTGCAACTGAAAATTATTATTTTAAAATATGGTTGGAATAAAATCTTTTTTTTTCTAAATGACTAATGACTACACTGTAAATGTTTATTTCCGATGTTGTAAATAAAACAAAGATTATTGCAGTATGTTTTACAAGAAAATAACACTTTAGTGTTACTTGCCATATATTCGTAATTGTTTACTTGCAATTTTTGAGTGAAATTGTTTCTATATCCATTTTTTTTTGTGTACATAAACATCAAACAAAAAAACTGAATTTCCAATTGTGTTTAAAAGAACTGGAAATGCCAGTGTTTTTGGCTGAATCATAATGAAATGAATAATTTTTCAAGTAATGAAAAGAGTACATCATTAATTTTCATCTGTAAAAAGATTTCACAAAAGTTTTTAAAAGCCCTAAGTTTCAAAATAAGGTTTGGACAAAATTTAAAGCATTCATTTTTATAACTTGACGATGACTCTGCATTGACAAGAGACAACAAAAACTATTAAAACATTTTTAAAAAATAAAAATAAATAAATAAATAAAATACTAGTGCTATCTGATAATTGATTTCTAAACTGTGTTTTAATTGAATTTAAAGCATTCATTTTTATAACTTGACGATGACTCTGCATTGACAAGAGACAACAAAAACTATTAAAACATTTTTAAAAAATAAAAATAAATAAAACACTAGTGCTATCTGATAATTGATTTCTAAACTGTGTTTTAATTGGTCTGTTGTGCACTAAACTTAATTGTTAATCAATCAGTGAAGCTACAAAAGTGTTCTGACACGATCAACTATAAAAAATAAAAACAATACATACATAAATAATAAATTTATGAATTAATAAATGCATACATAAATAAATCTAGGGCATGTCTGACTGTGACGTATATATTGCCATTATTATTTGTAAAAATCATCATTGCTGGTCTAGAATGATAATTGCAAGTTACTCAAATCCTTATTATTTCTTGGTGTAAATGCATGCTGATATTTTCCAGACTTTTGGAGGACACTGTAACATTTCTGGGAGGAGCTAAATCACGCTAAATCACGCATATTACAACATGCAGGTAGAGTGTGATAATGTGTTGCTGCTGCATCCTCTGAGATACTGATGCATATTACAAACCATACAAAGATGGACAGTCCTTCATGAATTATTCACAGACTAGTCTGCCCACTCACAACCTGCGCTTTTCAGCTTCAAAATAGAAATGGGTCAACATTTCTTTACAGGCAAGGAAAACACATTAATGCAAAAAGGCACCAAAGAGGATCAAGGTATCATGAAACTATATTTGTGCGGTGTGACCATGCTATTCCTGCCCGATGAAGTCAGAAATGCTTTTGTTTGCCCTCTTGAAAGCAGATATAGACCCAGACGGCGCTTGTTAAGTGAGAGAGTGGAGAGAAATCAAAAGCCTTTTTGATGGAGGTCACCTGACCCCCTGTGCAGCATTGATTGACATTTCTGACTGCTTACCAATTTACTGTTGAGACATCAAGCTGTACGTGCACGAATCATAGTTTCATGGTCAGAGAGACGCTCTAGACAGACACTCACCAAACAAATTGCTGGAGTGGCCTTGTTTAGAGATGGGACGCAGTTCGTTGGAGCCCCAGGCGTAGCGCTTGTAATTGTCCCAAGAAAACTGCATCATCTGAGGAGAGAGTGACACATGAAGAGGTTACTTTCGTGCATTTTGGTTAACTTCCTAAATGCAAAAGTAAAACATCACAGAAATAACAAAACAAAGTCCCACTGAATAACTGTTCAAAAAAGTAAAATGAATATGGCGACAACTAACATACAAGTGACTGGGCTAATCAAGGATCAATAGCATTAATTAATTTGATTAAATCGACAATCGAAATACTTAATGGATCCATTTCAGCATGAATGAGCAGTGCAGACGCCCTTAATTAATGGAGGAAAAATCTCAATACTCGCATGTCTTGGGTGTCATTTGATTTGTGGATAAAAATGGGCTATGCACACGATTTCTTTGAGTCCTACACATATTTTGTAGCATTAACAACCAATTAAAAATGACAATCGATTAAGGAAATTCTCAAAAATGGACATTCCCACAACATACTAAAATTATAAAGTGAAAAGTTGAAATTATAAATAATGATATATCAAGAAAAAAGTCAATCTATGAATGGCTAATAATATTTTAACATTGAAAACACACACACACATTATAAAACAAAACACTAAAATCAAAGACCATATAAACAATCATAACATATCTGCACATGCTCAATACAATATGGAGCCGCCTTACGAGAAACAAGTAAAAGTAGCATTTCCCATCTGCGTCACTTTGGTGCCAATGAACACACCATATGTTAGGTCTGGCTTCAAAATAGCCTAAAGTGATGATGTGAAGTGTGGCCATTCTCCTTATAGACCTTCTGATGGAGACACCAGTGAAAACATAGCAAAAACAAGTGAACATTATAGCGTCACATTATTTGGATAACAAATGGTTAATTTAATTTAGTAATATTATCTTCTAAATTTGAACTCAACCCCAAGTGAACACTACAGGAGTGTCTAATAATTATTCATGAGACTGCATGGCCTTATCCAATGAGAAGGTTCTGCCTCATTATTAAATATGACAATACGTGACATTTTCCCAAGACATAGATTTTAAACACTCCAGCACTTAAACATGGAAACATGGATCATGAGAGTTTGTTTGCGTGGTTTCCCCTTGATGCTGGCAAAGCTACAGGTTTTCAATCACTGATTCACTCCTTTGACATGCTTGTGTGCAAAAGCCAAAAACTGTTCCGCATTTAATTGTGCATAAAATTACGGATATAAAATTATGTACTTGTGCAATGTGTTTTAAGCTTACAAAACAGTGTTTGTGTGTTTTGTGAATTATACAACCGTCTACATTGCGAGTAAATCACTCGCATATGCGACTAAATCGTCACTCTGGGCGACTAAATGATGTCTAATATTAGCCAATTGCTAATAAATTCTCAGATTTTACTCGCCAGTGTGTGAGTTGGAGGCTAAGTATAAGTTTAGCTCAGATATATTTTCACTCTCCGAACACTCTGACTGAGCGCTTCAGAGTTTCACTCTGCGCCAAGCGATCTGTGCTGTTTTTCAGTTCATCTGAATGGATGTGCAACGCACATGTATTTAACATGTATTTAACCTGTATGTAAACTCTAATGTGAAGCGCACGACTCGCCGTCGCTTTGTTTCACACACACCAAACATATATATATATATATATATATATATATATATTTATTTATCAGTCTGGCCAGTAAACTAAAAAAATGTACTAGCCAATGGCGATTCAATTGCCAAGGTGTTCGTAGAGGGCTGATTATAGTGAGCATTTTTAAGAACATCAGAAAGCAGCTTTCCACACTTACTTTATCTAGGCTATATTTCTCAAAACAAGGCATTTTAAAAGAAAAGTGAAATGCAAAATTATGTAAATCACTGTGTAAATGACTCAATATTTCAAAAACACAAGAAATAGAGCAGCTTGAAACAAAATTATTAGCTTTTTTTGTATTTTTGTTTACTTAAAACACTTAATTTATTAAGTAGAAGGGGAAAAGCAGCTGCATTATTTACTAATGATGTGTGGTGTGTAGAGGAAACAAAGATAAGCAGAAATACGCAGAACTCATTTTTCACTGTGACAGGACATCGCTGATGATCCCAGAGAAACAATGATTGGAGAAGGAAGAAATATCCTCAGTAATTTGTGTGTTAAGTAATCCACCTCCAGCTCATTTATCCTAAAACTCACAAGAAAGTGTTTTTAGACCACAGTACTCGCTCTCCCCAGGGGTGTCAGTTAGCAGCTCAACAGAAACAGACCTGCTGTTCTCCCCGGAGAGCGTCAGACAGCACCAAAAAGAGAGGAAAAAAAAGCTCTTGACACACACACTCCTTGGACTGGATCAAGTAATTTACAGCCTCGGCACAGTCTCCCAACATCAGCCAACTGGCTCCAGTCAAATTAGATCAGTTTATCGACTGCTGGCCTAACTTTAAGTGTGCCCTAATCATGTAACTCTCTTTGCTTTCAAAGACAGCCACTCAACACCAAACATACTGATTGAAAAAGAAAAGATAAAAGTGGAAACAAATGTCTTTAGCTGAGGACTCCAGGCTGGAGATAAGCAGATAGACAAAGCTGTCCCGCAGGCCTCCAACTGGTTGAGAAGATGAACACAAGCTGTATATATTCTTACCAGTGCTTCCTGCAACGCTGAAACTACAGCTCGAAATGGCGAAAATAAATTTTGGTAATATAGGTAGTAGGGCTGTGCGATATTGAAGAAAAATGCGATATGCGATACCTTGTTAAAAAATGTGATATTCGATATGTGATACGACATTGCTTAAAGTGTGTAAAATCGATTTAAATTATATTTTAAAATATTTAAAAATGAAAATTATATAACCAATTTGTTTCACATTCTTTCTTGGAAAAGAAAGAATCACTACAACTTCTGAAAGTGACCAGCAGTGTTTTAGCATTACATAAAAAGTAATGTCACAAATCAGAAAGTCATTTTAACATCAGTGTGAACATACAAACAAAAACAAATTTATGACACTAATTTTATATAATTGTGACTTTGCTTTCCATACACTTTAAGTACTTCTTCATATGCCACAGCAAAAACTATAGTCTGAGAAAGTTCAAACATGATTAAAGGCAAGTGAACAGTCAGTAAAAAAAAAAAAAGAAAGAAAAAGAAATACACAATTTACAAGCATAGATAATATAAACAGTAGTATTCAGGTACAGAAATGTAATAATTAAGTGTAAAATAACACTGCATAGTGTTCACTGTATGAATTAAATTGTTTAATCTTTGTTATAGCTGTTTTGTTGTTTGATTAACATTAGTGACATTCAG